TCCACAAAACCAGATTTTCACAGCTCTATGCATAATGATTCAAGTCCAGCACCTTGCTTCAGCTCTGCAGTGGGGCAGCAATAGGAGCACCCAGCCGCCTCTAGTCTTGAGCCATGCAGATCTGTTGGGCCAAAACATTCAAAACATCTGGGAGGCCTCTAGAGCCGGAGGCCTGCAATATGGCGTGGGCTAAAACTGCAGATGATGTTGCCAGTGAGTACTGAACATGACAAGCCATTTGATTTTCAGTGTATGAACATTTTTCCCCAAAATAGTTCTCCACTGGCATTGTCAGAAACCAAATTTCACAGGGAGAACAAAAACACCTGCTCCAGAAGGTAACACTGTGCATTCTAAATTCCAAATTAAGGAGTTGCACAAGAAATTGTTAAGTCATCCTGGAAAAATTACAGTATATCTGAACATATTATCTCATCATCCAGTGAACAGATTTTTAGATGCTGTTTACAGAATGGTCCCTTTGACAGGTGCTGAGCTTATCTGTTTTCTGATATAACATTGTTCTATGCTGAGGTTCACAGGATGACCTGAGAAAGTGATTGTAAAAATATCAGTGATCATACTCTTATTACTGTCTACAGCCTCTGGGACTGATCCATGACAAATATCCTTATTTCTACCAACCAAGCAGCTAATACAGGACAGCCTTCTGCTTGTGCCTTCTGTTGACAAAACTGTGGTTTGGGTACAATAGGATCAGATTTCAGCAAAACACAGTTGCTTTCCTAGAGTTGGACTGGGGGGTGGGGGGAGGAATGCAAGTGTCTCCCTTCCCAGCTTCGTATCTAGATTTGTGAGAGTCTTACTGTGATCATTTTGGAACTAATTATATCTTCTTCTTGCTTACAGATCTGTTGTTCCTGAATGCAGTGATCTAGCTAAGTCTGGGCCTCAGGACCAAAGTCCAGGGCTCCCAATCTTGGGGGGGGGAGGGGGGTGTTTCCAAAAGAATTGCAGGAGATGGGCAAAGATGCCCAGACTGATATGTCAATTGGCAAAGACATGATGGGTTGCATCCTGGCAGCTGCTGTTCTCCTTCCCTTTCTCCCTCTCTCTTATGTTATACTCTTGATAGGTAAGTGCACCATGAATAGTGGTGCACATGCTCATCTTAATATTTTTATTTTAAAAATACGTTTACTTCTTCCCACAACTAAATGATGTGTATTCCAAAGTAATGTGCATGGCTATGTAAAGCCAGGGCAGTGGGGAGGCAGGGAGACCATAAGTTACTGACTGCATCAATGTCTGGAAGTAATTCTTAATGAATGGTTTAACTTTTAAACAGAAAGGATGGGGAACCTGCGGTCAGATCTTTTTGGATTCCAATTCCCATCACCCTCAGCCAGCATGACCAGTGCTTCAGATTGATAAGAGCTATTGTCCAACAGCAACAGAAATCTTCCACAGAACATCCCATCCTTCTGCTGAGAACAATCTGGAACCAATATAGTTGGAGGCATTCCTATATGAAGCCACCTCTCTTTAAAGATCAACTCTTGAGGACCTCTTCGGGGGCAGGGGGCTTCTCTGGGGTGACACCAGATTAAATGTAAACAAACATTTTTATTTGCATAAGCTTCTTCTGACATGTACTTGTTTGTGCCATTTAGTTATGCTGTAAAACTCTCTGCTCTTTGAGAGTTGCTTTGTTTTTATTGTGATGGGATCAATATTGTGAGTCAGTTGTTTTGGAAAGATAGCATATAATAGTGAAATAATAGTGAAATAATCAGATATTTTCCCCACGTTCCTTTGAACCGTTTCAGTATTTACTTGGAATTTGCTGTGCTTCTTTTGAGCAGGGATAAGCAATCTTTTGGTGGCCAAAGGCCATGCTTAATATTGGGATTTATGTGTAAGATTTGCAAACTGTGAGGGGCCACATTACAGGTGTGGGCAGAGCTCGATTTACGGGGGAGTTTGGGGTGTTTTCTTTCTTTTTTAACTCTGGGCACTCACCCAGCTGTTTTCATTTATTTCTTACATGAACATGAAGGGAGATTTTGCAGTTTTCAGCAGTCAAGGCCAGAGGGGGCTCTGAGAGCTGTAGTTGCAGGTTGCTCACCCCCTTGCTTTACGTAGTTTTTCCAGGCTTGGTGAGCTTCAATTCACTGGATCACAACTCCTAGAGTTCCCATCTGCATGTCTGATGGAGATAATCATGTTGGGGAAGGCGTCTATGCATTGGAAACAAGATATATTCCTCCTTCTCTCTGCTTTATCTTCTAAGAAGATGAGAACGATCTTCTGAATCACATACTTTAAGTGGTGCCCCAACTACTCACTTGTTACCCCAGTGGCTCAGATATCTTCAGAAAGTCTAGAAGCAGTGAATGAAGACAACAGACTTCTCCAGTCATTTGTTCCCAGCACTTGATCTTCAGAGGACATCTTTCCCTGTGGAATATCTATCCCTATGCAATAATTGGGATATTGAAAGATCTACCTGCATTTTGTGATAATGAAATTAATTCATTATACAGTGAATTAAGCCAGTTCACACATTGTACTAAACCATTATGTAGTTTGCTTTTGACTTAGTGTGATGTGTGAATGCACTCACTATGACTTAGCATCATGAGTGAACCAGGCCACTATGTTTTAATCTGTTCCATTTTCAAACCCTGGCTTAATATTATATATGAATGTAGAAATTGTATGAAGTACTTGAATTCAATTATTTTCTTTTTTCTTTTCTTACTACTACCTAATCAATTATTTTGCTACTGGTAATTTCAAGCTCCTTTTGGGCCAAGGGAATTCAGTTGGCTCCACTTGCTCCCTACCTTGTATTTTCTCTGTCCAGTTAGAAAAGCTTCCTTGTTCTGGAGGAGGAGGAGGAGGAGCAGTTTCACCATCCTTACTGTATTCTAATCTTCACAGTGGTTAATTTCCGAAATGCAGGAGGGCTCAAGCTTGTGTGGAAGCTCAGCCTCTATTCTCCTGCCCACTCCTTTCCCTCTATAACTCATGCATTGGTTGGGAAAATGGTCTGTCCTGGCTTGGAAGCACTGAATGGTTTCAGGTGTCCAAGTTCCAGGGCTGAAGAGCAAGTTTTTGTGTGTGTGTGTGTGTGTGTTTCTCCAAGGAGTCCTAGGATGAGGAAGCCACTACCGGTCTTTGTGGGTATTTGGTATTGCTCTTCACATGCTCCCTGTTAACAAAGCACCATTGGTTAGCCCGGCACATACTGGGTGGGCATGCATGTTCACACAGCTTAGCTACTCCGGTTTATATGCACGTTTCAATGCTCAAGGGAGCTTGCTGCTTTGAAGAACTTCTCTGGCAGCGTGGGATGTAAATGGAGGGAATGTTAAATACTCAGCGGCTCTTTGGAAACTCAGAAGTGTCCTAGTTTTGCTCTGCCGTTCCTTGTTCAGCCCCTTCCCCTTTAGCCCCTTCGAGAGTGCTTCCGAGACACAGCCCCGAAACCCCGGAGGAAAGCCGGCATTCCGGCGCGCTTGCTGGGCTTCCTAGCGCCACCCAGGCGCACGCCGCGCGGTACTTTCGCGGGGATTTCCGTATGGCCTGGCCTCCCTCTTTACTCATCGTCTCTCCCAAGCCGCTGGATTGCTGCCCACTTCTCCAACCGGCTACACGAAGCTGATGCTCGGCCACACTTGTCCGGCATTACATGTGCGTGCCACCTTTCCGCTGAAGGGAGGCCCGAGGTTTACCCAACCTGCGCACAGTACCTTCAGCGGGAAATCGCGGCAGCTTCTACGCATACTTGAAACGGCCTTCACCCTCAAACTTGTTCGCGTGCCTGTACGCCGCGGCTGCCAGTGTTACACCGGTAGGCAGAGAAAGGTATGGGACCCCAAAACGTGTCCGTAGCCTCTTTCTGCACCAAGGCAATAACTGGCATACCCCAGAAACACGCGAGGCGTTTGCAAGCGGCCTCCCGTTCGCACGCTCTTCCCGGCCGAGCCGCGAGGGTGAATGAAGGAGGGAGAAGGCCAGAGTCTCTCGAAGGCAGCGCATCTTCGCCAGCGGGATGCTTTCAAGCGC